CTTTCCCTCAAAGACTTGTAGATGCCTTTCGCAATCCATGCTGTAAGATCTGAAAGTTCAGAATAAATCCTGGTAGTTCTATTTCCAAAATAGTAAAGGTCGTCTAATTGCTCAAATATTGATATTATTGTAATGTCCAGCTGGAATTGAATTTTAATTAGTTGAGGATACTGTATGTTCCTGAGTGATTATATTCAGGAGCTAGAAGCAGCAAACAAGCGACTTCGTGAGCATGAACCATTCGAAGGTGTTGCTGGACTTCAAGAAGAGCTGATCTCTGTAAAAATGCGTGAAGCAGAAAGCAATCTTGCTGTGAAGGAGATGCGTCAACGGTTAGCTGAGCTCGAACAACACTGGGCTGTATGTCGTATCTACTTATTTGATTCTCAAAAAATTGCTCTTTTCTGAAATTGAGGTTACAGAAATACGTTCACATGAGAACCTTTGAACCAAACGTCGCAACCGCTGAAAACGACACAACTTCCAGTGAATCGAATAACTCGACATCGCTCAGCGTTAACTCAGCGCGGTTGGTTTTGTGGTGTTTACAAACAGAAAGTAGTATTTTTTCTACTCTCTTTCCTTCGCTTATATGAACTTTAGAATAAGATTGGTTTGAGAATTGATCCAAATAGGCTGTGAGCGTGCTTGAAAATTTGAGTTTATTTGAACTTGCGAGATGCCTTTTTCTAAAGTGGCAAAGTGGAAAGATGTAAAATGTTCAGCTTACTGTATTTTTAGAATGTGGTATTTTTAGCGCAAGACTTGCAAAAATCACGGCATCGTTCATTGGAGGATCATCCGAAGGTGACGATGGATGTGTCACAATTAGGGAACTTGAAGATCAGCTCATGGGTGTTCGGATAAAAGAAGTAGACAATTTAGCCGAGCTGAAGGAGATGCGCCAAAAGGTTGCGGGCTTTTACCTTCTTAAATTGTAGATATTGTAAACGCTAGAAATCACCTCCTTCATGATATTGTTAGAAGAAGAAATTGGATATAAATTTTGAGGACAATGAAGTTGATTCTTCTTAATCCGGCGTATCTTTACTACTTCTCAGCAAAAGTTTGGTCGAAGAGCGTACGCTTTGGAAATTGTTTTCATTCTAGAATCATTTTTTCGCCGGAACAGGAATTCTTGGAAATGCTTGCATACCTCACCTTTTACATTTCGATATTTGCTTGTTTCTATGCATATATTTTCCACAACATTACCTTTGTTACTCTTTATAAAGTGTTTTACATAACAAAACGAATTCATTTTAATGCCTATTGAAATTCGTTCTTCTTTTAGGTTATGGAACTAGAAACGCAAAACCATGTCTGCACTAATCAACTTCGAAGACAGGATGAAGAAATAAAGCGGATTCGTGAGGAAATTGAGGCAGTGCAGAAGGTATGAGTATACTTGCTATCCACCAATTGCACTATCTTTGAAATTTAAGCATAAAAAAAATTAAGTGGGATGGATAAACAGCACCTAATTCCATTTAGATAAGACGTGAACTAGAAGCATCGCTCCGACTAGAACGTCAACGTTGTGCCCAACGCGAATCTGAGCTCAACGAGCAGTGTATTATGGAACGATTAAAGTATTCGGAAGCGATGCAATCTATACAAGATCTCCGACAAATGATAACTCAGCTAGAGCTCAAAGTAAGTTATTTTGAACGCTTTTTAGGAACATTTTGAATTTAAGTGAGGCAAATGCGTAGACTACTTAAGGGATACGAGAACTTATGCACACCCACATGTAGAGTGCGTTTTCCAAAATTTTTTGAAACATTTCTTCTCTGTTGCACCTCTTAGGTAGACAAGTCTACCAGGAAAAGGTGGAGAAAAATCCCTTTTTTCCCCATTCCATGCCGATAACAAAAGAGCTTAGCCGATTTTGTATGTATGGTGAGGACGTATTATATACATGGATAGCTCTATAAAAACATTGTTCTTTGTAATTCGCTGTACTTAATCCACCATTCCAAAATCATTAACATACTCCAACTAGAGGAGCATTATTCAGCTGTCTTTTTGTTCAGAGAACAAAATATGTTGTTTTTTTTTCAGAAAGCAGAAGGATGGACCCAAAACCAGCTCAGAGGCACTTCTGTATGCGAAGTTGACGACGATTCTGTGAGTTTTGCGACGTTTAGTATTCACAATATTGTTTTTGTGGAACAAAGAGTGGAACGAGAAAGGAGAATAAATGAACAAACGAAAAGGGCATGAATCAGAGGAGAAAATTAAATGGAACAAATTTTGCGGAGCTGCTAATTTCAATCCTGCCGTATTTTTCCTTCGTGAACGCTGATCGCCGCAGGATTTTTATTCGTTGCGTACGCCTCATACTTGGTTATGTGATGAATAGCGAAACAAACAAATTTTCTTTTGAAATGTTCAGAAGTTTGCCAAGGGACTGTCGCGCATACAGGATACTAGCCCAGGGGGATCTGTATATCTCGATAATCGCAATCGATGAATATCTTTTCCGCTTCCATAATTTCC